ACCGCGATGCACTTGAGTGAAATAAAGGCCCGGGCCTATATTAGAGAATTTACGGTATTATATAATCCCTCTCTATTCCGAATGTACTCCCTCACAGGGTTTTGTCATTACTGAAAAAAAAATGTTTGAATATACGTGCAATATGCAACATATTGCATGTGTATTACAGGCTATACATAATAGTTCTATATATGTATAGTTTGCAGCTTGGAAGACTTGATTAACACAGGATGTCTCTTTTGTATATGTATTTTCATCATATTGCTGTGTGAATATGAACAGCTCTATATAAGAATTCAATTAAGGATACATACAGTATATAAACCCCATAAATGTTAGTAATGACTAAAAGTGTACCTTTAATTTTCAAGTAAATTATATTTCTTCTTTATGCATGCATGAATTATATCTGCAAAAATTACTCTCTTCATGTTTTTATCTGCATGGTTTGCTTTCAAAATATTTTTAGTGAGAAAATATGACAAATATGACATAAAATTCGCATAAAATTTTAAAGCACAACCCTGAAACTTTGAGAAACATACATACAGTGCTGTTAACACAACATGTGTAAAACAAAATACTATTTTATTCAACAAAACATGAAATTACGTGGGCATTAAAAATGTAAAACAGTATAAAAGAGTATTAATATTATTAGAGTTCAATGCAACAGAAAAATGTACAATAATGCATGTGGCCCCAAAGTGAAGGTAGGCTAAATGTAATCAGTGCCCCACTCCCACAGACTGCCACTCTGGTTCTCTGAGCAAAGACACTTAACCCCATACTGCTCCCCGGGGATGGGTTAAATGTAGAGGTAAATTTATCCAATGTGAGATCAACAAAGTTCAATAAAAAACAACAACAAAAAATGTGCTTCTGTTTCTTAAGTACCTGCAGAATTAAGCCACTTGGTTACTGGCTGTTAGTTGGCATATTTAATACAAACTACTGTACAATATTCAAAATATTTCTAGTTTACTTGCAAAATAAGGAACCAAAATGTTGCGATTAACTTTCATTTTATCGCTTTAATAAGTGATTCCAAATTTGCATGTGTTTAACAGAGGCCGACTGGCTTATTTAGCTTCTCTTCATTGTTGATTGTTACAACAGACACCTGAGAAACACCAGATCAAAAAGGGGTAGGGTCCTAATTCTGCCTTCAGGACAGTCTTTTTCATAGCATTCATCGAAGATTCTGGTCTATAGTGACATATTAGCAACAAACAGTTGTTAAACTCATTATTATTTGTTAAATTATTTGAGTTTTGTGACATGGCGCAACATCCTGTTAGATGTAGTTATTTAGAGATGGGTCAAGTCTGTTCATAAACAGTAGGCTTGGTTAGCAATAGTTTGGAACTAGGTTGTGGTATTTAAATAATCCCCAAGTGAGTCAAATTGTACAAGAAAAAAAATCCTGTACAACATTAAGTAAACATGTTAAACTATTGATACAAACAGGGTGGATCCTTCTTTCATGCTATTTTCACCAAAAACCTTAAATTTTTGAATTTCACGGTTGAAATCTATATTAAACGGATCAGGCCACTTTGTTCTTCTTGTTATTTCCAAACTTTAATGAATTTGTATAAAACCTGTCCTGATTTAATGTTTGTTGCTGACCGGAGAAGGGGTCAGTTTGGCTTCTGCAGCACATCTGCTGAGGTCCAGCATGTGTGTAGAGTTAGTACGGTATTATAAAATACCTTGACTGAAATGACTGGTTATAGTAGCTTCTTTTCTGATGCCTTTCTATCTTTTCAAACCAGTCAGACAATTCCTCCTTTGACACTGACCAAGCATTTTTTAACCATTCTCGATATACTTGATCAACAGGGATCTTCCCAACTTTGCTACCATGCCATTGGCAGATTTGCAGTTTGTGCAACTAACTGCTGATGAGAGGTATACAATAAACTGGCTGGTGAGCGTATAAGAAAATTACTGGAATTTATTTTCCAGTGCATTGGAAAATTATCACACTTTTTGCTCCAACAATGTAACCTTCCATCCAAATTGCCAGTGGACCGCTGTGCCATGTTGCTAAATGTTAATTTATGTACCTCACGTTGTGTTTCTACCCATGTCTCAAAGATGCTATTAATAGCACATGTTGCTCTGCTTTGTAAAGGAGAGTCATGGGAGGGGGGGCACATATCTCCTTAGCTACTTAAAATCCAAATCTATAGGAAGAGGGTGAGGTGATTGCTAAAAGAAGTCAATTGTCAGTCAGCTAGTTCCTGCTGTAGCCTCCCATTAGTTCCCTTTTGCTTTGCTTGTGGCTCTGCAGCAGCAGTAGTAGGATTATGATGCTTCTCCTCTCTGCTCCTCCCCTCGGGAGCTCCGTTGTTGCCATGGTTGGCCCGCCCTAAAGAAAGGGGGAGGGGCAATGCGGAGGAGGCCTCCTGCTCACAACTCAAGGCAGAGCAAAGGGCACCTTGCTGTCAGATGACACCCTTTACGTATGTGATGGTTATGTTTCATAAGCAGCCTGAATAGCAGTGCTGTTATTTCATCTTTATGTTAAAATTAAAATCTCTCATGAACCAAAAGACCTTGTTTACATAACCCCATGTAAATTATATTCAGCCAAAAAATCAGATTTAGTTAGTCACCATCCACATCATAACAGTCAGTATCTATAAGTGGCCAATGCAAAACCTAATGAAACATTTTTAGGTGGATGCAACATAAAAAAAGCTGCAGCAGCTCTTGATGCATCACAGATGCTAATGTTCAGCTGTGCAGATGAGCTCAGCTGCATTTCCTAAAAAAGGCACAGTGGCGCTCAGACTTATGTTTTTCAAAGAAGGTAAAAGCACACAGTTGCAAACTAAAATGAAATTGGACATGTGGCTAAAAAGAAAAGTTCTAGCTCTTGAAATGCCACCTATTATTTAATTTTAAAATTACAAGTGGTGCTTAATCACTAAACAGATTATCAAACTGTTCTTTAACAAGTAATCTTTAAAATGAACCACTTTACTGTATTTAAAGCAGAATATCAATTAATATCACTGCTTTCACTTCAGAAGAGTGTGCTTTCAGCTGCTTATTTAAAAAATTTTTACTTCCTCGTAAGAAACATAAATGTACCTAGCCTTTTGTTAGCCAGCTGACCAGCAGTGTGAAGCAATAGCAGAAGCAGGGGCCATCACGGTATAGACTTTACTCTGGAGAAGACTCCGTTCACTCCTGCTCTTTCTATAGCCAATCCAATTTCAAACACTCTTTATTAAAGAATATTATAAAAGAATCTCTTAAACAACCCATCCACTTAAATTATTAGAAGAGCAGACATCTCTTTTATCTGCCAAAAAGTCCTGTTCTAATAAATATGCATTATTCAAGGTACCGCATTTCTGTTTTAAAAAGTAAATGTAAATCTGAAGAATACATGCACTTAACTATGCCTTTTGTTTATTTGTAGGTTTGACTTCACTTCATAGTCTCCCTCCTACACAGATCATTTAAAAACAGCACACAGCCTACAGCTACCACACCACAGCATGGGAGGAAGAATTAGAACATCTTCAAGCCTGAGTTCTGGTATAAGATTTGACTTTCTCTCTGTTTTCCAGAACCAAAGATCAATGCCTCTGATCAGATCATCCTGCCACTGGATGCAACAATCAAACCTGTTACTCTTCATTGTAATCTTACTGCTGCCCATACCCAACACAAGGACAGCTTCTGGATGAAGAATGGGAACGAGATCCCAAACACACGGGCAGACCAAGGGACATCGTTTACATCGTTCAAGTAACCATAATCCTTTGAAAGCACTTTTTACTGTTCCCAAATCCCCCACAGTTACTGCAGCACTTTCAGATCAAATAAGACCACTGTGCAAGCAATGAAGGAGCAGAGGTAATCTCTGTCTCAGCAGGGTGGGAAGGCATTCTTTGGGATCAAGACCTTGCATAGAAACATTACAGTATACTGATTAGTTCTCAGCTGGAGGTGAGAGAGGTGAACACAGCTGCATGCATGCTAACTTGGGTTTGTTTTTCTGCTTGGTTAATAGAAGGTATGAACTTTTAATAAGTGGGACACAAACCTCTTTTTAACCTATTATAGGGACCACAGTGATGGGTTGTTGGTTTTAACTAGAAGCTACATGGAAATTACTATGCGCAAGCACAACCAAAAATCTGCATTTAATTAATCTGTTTTGTAAGGAAGATGTTTTTTAAAAACAGTTCCTACTCAAAGGTATAGGTGGTTTACATTTAATTTAAAATCACAACACCATTCTCAAAATGCATTGAGTCTTCATAATACCTGTAGATCTATCTTAAAATAAAGATAAACAACCCCACACTGTCATTTGCGTGAAGTAATAGTTCCCGCTGTCACATTCTATAATCATTGTAGCATAGAGCTACTGTCGGCCCCCATAGACATACCACAGATTCTGTCTACCCAGAAGATAAGACCAATTGGTCACTTCCTTGTCACACCACATCAGTGACTCTGAACATTACAGCTAAAACGCCTGTAGCTCCCTTCCCTGCAGAATAGAGGGCTGCTGTTTTGTAATATCCAAGTAAAAGGCCAAGATTTTTGCTCTTGTGGCCTTGTGAGTCCTTTAGGTTTTCAATGATTTAGTCAGAGCTAATCACATGCTGTAAAGTTGAATTTAGATGTCTCAATTTTAGTGGACCGCTTGCAGTGCAAATAAAAATTCTGAAGTCATTCTTTTTTTTTTTCATTTCTTGCAGAATCTCTAAACCTCGAGCCGATGATTCAGGGGAATACATGTGTGTTTATACATTCGAGAAAGCGCCGAATGCAAATGCAACAATTGAAGTTAAAGGTAAGTTCTTTCCCAAACTAAACAGCCAATGTGTTAAAAAATGCACTGTTATTTACTCCCCAGAGTGCTGAACTGTATGCAAAATATGCCAGCATGTAGTTAGATTCAAGTCATAAAGGAAAACTGCCAACCTAAAGCTGTGTGAAGAGAGTCCTGGTTGACAAAGATGTTTGAATCCAGTCAGTGCAGTGATGACAGAGAGATCACCTGAGGCTGTTGTCACTCTTGGCTTAACTGAGACAACATGCAAGCAAAATGGACAGGGAGTGCACATGCTCTCTAAAATATGCAAAGAACAAGATCTACAAGGAGAATTTCATAGGAGCTGTGACACAAAAATCGAGTGTTATGGTTTAAAGAGGACAGGAAATACAAATGGTTGTGGCTTGTAGAACAGGTAGCTTTCATGATACATCTGTTTGCTGTTGCTTTGTTTGAATAACCTGTAGCAATGCAACACATGACTTGGACTGAATTGTTCATAAAAAAGAAATGTGTAAGCATTCCTTGTCAAGGTGCAGAAGAACAATTATGATGCTGGTGTTTTAGTCGAAACCAAACTCAACTAGCAGTTTTAGGGCTGCAAATAACGATTATTTTTGCAAATGGACTAACTGTCGATTATTTTTTCAATCAAATAAGATATTTTACAAAATTAAGCCAGGTAAAACTACAACTTTTCCACTTGAGGATTTCCGGATAGAGCATATTAACAGACGAAAACTTTTTAAAAATCCTAAATGCAGAATGTATATACATTTTTTTTTGTTTTTTTTTACAATTTTGATATGCTGCTCTAACTGGATTGCTCTGTCAGCTAACCATCAGCTCTGCACTCTCCATACTCCAGTTAATGATTAATCGATTACTAAATCAATTAATCATTATTTCAATAATCAATTAATTATGATTAATCCGATTAGTTATTTCAGCCCAAATCAGTTCCTTAAATTATTACATCACTTCTGTGAACTGCTAAGTTTGAAGTTCTTGATACATACGTTTACATAAAGTGTGGTTTGTTTGCTTGTAAAATCACCTTCTGCTACAATTACAGATGAAGGTCTTTTTTATCATCTAGCTACTAGAGGACATCTGCTTTCTGACCAGTCTTCTTACCATACAGCTTAAGCTTATTCAGACTGGATGAACAGTGTTTGAACGCTGAAGTAAGCATTCCCTACCTTGGTGTGGTGTGTTAGGGGAACAGATACATTTTTGTTTTTTCCTTTAGACACGATTTTCTGCATTATGCATGAAAAGTTTAGGATTTTTTTAACCTCATCTGCTTGGAGCACCTTTATATCATTACTAATCCCCCTATATTTTTTTGTGGAGTACTTTCAAAAATGGGCCTTTCTAAAACTTTCATAAAAGATTTTTGGAGTGACAGTTTTCCCATTGAGATTCTTGCAATTTAATTGTAGCTCTCCGTTGCCAGACAGTGAGCACTGGCACTTCTTCTACTACTGTGATTAATGTTCTTGTAAATATACGTGGACAGCTACTTAATGCTCCATGAGATGTTGGGATATTTTCAATTAACAAGTCAGCTGTTGTGGGCCTATACAACTACCTACCTTGACAAGGACATAAGAAAGTTCTGGCTGTATTGATCATTTAACAAAACACATGAAAATGTTTAATTAAAAAGTGACCTTTAACCTCTTTAAAATGTTCTATAAAATAGTTTTTCATGCACAGTTGTGCTGCTCACTGCCCCTTCTCAAGGATAAATTGAGCAGAGCTCCTTGGGATGTTTAAAGCCTCAAATATTGTTTTATAACAGTATTTATATCAAATATTTCCACAATTTGATCTCTGATCAATCTGCACTGTTACTCTACCAACATAATGTTTATTGCTTAATGTCCTTTAACAAACTTTTAAGGACTTTAAAGGTATAGAGGACAATCTTTTTTTCTGGGTGGATCATTTAAATAAGCGGTCCTCCTAATTGTCAATTATTCTGGTGATATGTTTACGTAAGGCCGTCCTGCATGCTCATCCAGTTAGCTGTGATTTTCTGTGCATGCGCACTTTCAGCCGCATATGTGTGGTGAGCTACAGTTTCAGACAGTCATTGAAACTCACCTTCTTCACCACGGTTCTTTAAAAATGGCCGAGGGGCGTAAGAAAAAAGTGTATAAGAAGTGTACAGTATGAGAAAAAAATAGAGGCTTCCCAAGAGCAAGATATATCCCAGAATGCTTTGTGTGGAGAGCTCTCCTTGCAAAGCATTATGGGATTTGCTGTCACAGCGGCCCACTGTCACCATAGGCTGTCGTCACCTAACAGCGGCAACTACTAACAAAGATGGTGCAGGCACCGCACAGTGAAAGAGGGGGTTACGTGACCCACGGAATAAAAAACAGTGATCATCTGTCCGAACGGTCAGTTAACTGAGTTTGCTATAAGGTCCACTATATACTCCACACTGTATGTGGATAAAGTAAGCTTGTATGAGCTATGAGAACAGCACATTTTAAACAGGGCGTGCACAAGGAGAAATGGGCTTGTGCATGCTCTTGCACGTGCATTTTTTTTAAAGTGAAGAGGGCAGGTCTTATAAAAAATCCTCCACAATACCTTTATGTGTGTTAAGGTAAAATGGCCTCCATATGAATACAGCAAAAAGAATAAAATATAAATAAATCGATTATGAATTTCCTTTAACTATATATTGTTTGTTTTGATTCATCAAGTAAAATTAGGATAAATTACAAGCTTCTGTGGTTGTAATGAGACAAAATATAAAAAATGCACACAAGATTTCTTTAATTTTTTCATATATCTCCTTTAAAATATTGCATGTCAGGTTATAATATCCATGATTAAACTAGCAGGATTTGAACCTGTGCACTCTGTTTAACAAGGACGAAAAAGCGTCACCTCAAGCCATGTTTTCATTCAAGCTGACACTGATGCCTTCAACCTAAATAAGGAGTCCTCTGTGAGAAAAGGCAGGTCAAACTCTCTTCAAGAGAGGATTGCCTGGGTAGTGCTTAAGCCAATTTGCAGCGGCATGGCTGTAGTGCATACTGAGCCCGGCCCTGCTTTCTTCTTCACGGCTGTCTCGTAGCGATGCCTGATTGCGTAACATGGATGATGGCTGTGCATGTTGCTTTCACTGTATTGTCAGATGACAGCACCAGTCACCATTCTGTTGTTTCTGCTGTGGTTTGACCGTTGAGTCTTGCTATCTGTACCCAGTGGGAAGTTTTAGTATTTGAAGTGTCAGTGAAGGACTTTCTAATGACATTGACAGAAAAGAAACAAACTAAAACAGACTAATGTTGCCATAAGCAGGTACAACTGCTGGAACTAATGAAAATCCTTTTTTCGTCTGTCGCTAAACTCTTGTAATTTTTTAGTTGTGGTTTAGATCCTATATGACCCAGGTAAGCAAGCCCACTTTTAAGCAAGCCAGCTTTCCGCAGCCCTCCTGGCAGCAGTTCACTGAGATCCCTCGCCTACAGTGTCCTTGGCACACTCATCCTTGCAGGACACAGCTCAGAGGCAACAGATGGAGGGTTCTGTGATGTTGTAGGATTAAGGCTCTGAATACGGTCCCAACCTTCTCTGTGGCATGAGTGGACTTGATTGTCTTTGATAGGAAGCTTACTGCTGATATATAGTTGGTCCTGTCATCCGAATCAAGTCTTATTTTACGGCAAAATACCTATCCATGGCAATACAAAATATGAAAAAGATAAATTATGTTTTGCTGAACTTATTTAAAGTAGCATCTTTTTTAATATGTGGTAAGTAAAACAGGCTTCCTGAAACATTTCACCTTGCTTCCTCTCACTCATCCCGCTCAGATTTATCCCACTTTCCCACAGTGAGGATTATGGAAATTAACAATCAGTCAGGAGTGTGAAATGGAGGTTTCTGCCTGTTTTAGCACCACTCAGAAGGCTGTCTGTGGGCTGTCAGTCACAGAGATGTCACAGCGAGGATAATGCATGAATACTCGTGGCCACTCCCCTGCCCAGGGAGCACGTGTGCACCATAATTAGAGAAGAGTGATGTCACCAAAGTGCACAGAGCCCTCCTTACCTCCATGCACTGTTAAAACCTTCTCCCCCGGTTATGGTGATGTCAAACATTAGAGAGTTATTTTTATTCTATTCCTTCAATAAGGTGTATCAATGTTGGCACAGAATGTTCTACTGAGAGATTATTACGGCTTTTCTCTAGATAAGTTATTATCCTCATAAGCAGTCTATTGTTTTTACTAGGAGCCAATTTATGTTTTTTTTTTATAAAAAAAGAAATCTATTTGTGAGAATGATACTCTGAAAGTGAACATCTGGAGACTCTCATATAGCCCTGCTGCAACCCTGCCCCCACCCATGACCTAATTTCAGTTGTATTAAAACTCTTTTTATTCTGTGCAACAACATCCCCTACATTTAGCTTGGGGTATATGTACAGTACCTTTATAAAATAATTAGTTGGAAAAGGGTGAGTGTTTATGGAAAGTAAATATCTGCAGTCTAAGCTTCACATATGTAGAAAAAACATGAAATCCACTAGTTTATTGGGGGAAAGAAATTAAATTCAGTTTATTAATATAGCACCAACTCACAACACATGTCATCTCAAGGCACTTTGCAGTTCACCAGATCATACAGTCAAATTGATTCAAAGATTTCTATCTAAGGAAAACCAGTCGACTCATTGACTCGAATGCAATCCCTCACACTAAGCATGCTTGTAGCAACAGTGGAGAGGAAAAACTCAATTTTAACAGGAAGAAACCTCTAGCAGAACCAGGCTCAGTGTGAGCGGCCATCGGCCGAGGCCGACTGAGGCTCAAGGAGACAAAAGCAGAGATACAAAAAGCAACTATAAAAGGTGTCCAGGAAACACACAGCCAGGCAGACGAGTTCCAAGCCAACTCCCACGTCAGAGGATGAAGAGAGCACATCCAGCCAGTCATAGTCAGAGAAACAGGACTACACTGGAAAACAGGCCGATCTGCAACATCTATAAACAAAAGTGTTGGTGGCAGCAGCACAGCTGATATTTCTCTCCAGGATGGTGTCACAGCCAAACAGGAACAGACGAGGCGAAGCTACTATGAGAAAAAGCAGAGAGAGAAGAACGTTAGAGATTGAACTAACAGATTCTGCAGAGTGGAAGAATAGAGATAGAATGAAGCAGAATGATGAAATAAGGGTCCCTATGTCCTCCAGAAGTCTAAGCCTGTAGCAGCATAACTATAGAGATAGCTCAGGATAACCTGAGCCATTCTAACTATAAGCTGTATCAAAAAGGAAAGTTTTAAGCCTAGCTTTAAAAGTAGACAGGGTGTCTGCCTCACGGACTAAAACTGGTAGTTGGTTCCACAGGAGAGGAGCCTGATAACTAAAAGATCTGCCTCCCATTCTATTTTTAGAAATTCTAGGAACCACTAGTAAACCTGCAGATTGTGAGCTAAGTGCTCTTACAAATGGAGGATTTTAGATTATATTCTTGATTTAACAGGAAGCCAATAAAAAGCAGCTAGAATAGGAGAGATATGATCTATCTTTCAAATTTTCATCAGAACTCTGGCTGCAGCATTTTTTATCAGCTGAAGACTTTTAACTACAGTTTGCGGACTTCCTGATAGGAAAAAATTACAAAAGTCCAGCCTTGAAGTAACAAATGCATGGACTAGTTACTCAGCATCACCCCTGGACAGGAGATTTCTAAATATTGCAACATTCCGCAGATGAAAGGACATTCTAGAAACCTCTTTGTTATGGGATTTAAATGTCAGGTCCTGATCAAAAACAACACCAAGATTTTTTTACTTTATTATCTGCAATCAGTTTAATCCCATCCAAATGAAATGAATGACAAATCAGCTTCTTTTTCAAAGACTCTGGTCCAAAGACTATAACTTCTGTTTTGTCTGCATTCAGAAGCAGAAAGTTAAGAGTCATCCAGGTTTTTATGTCTTCAAGTTTCCTGTAATCTATGTAATGGATTAGCTTCATCTGGATTTATAGACAGATGTAACAGGGTATCATGGTATAGGCATATGAAAAATTAAAGTTGTTGTATTACAACTACAGTTTACAGCATATTTTAATGAGATTTTAAAGAAAATGTTAAAACAAAATGTGCTTGGTAGTGGATTGAAACAAAAAGCATTTTTTTCTTTTTACATTTTCTTGACTCTTACTTGTTTTGCACATTTAGAAACTGACTATTTTTACCCATCGTTCTATCCTGAAAGGCTAAAGCTTATTCACTTTGGATGGGCAGTAAATCCAAGCCACAGGTTATTAAGTAGGATATAGGGCTAGAATTTGACTTGGCTTTTAGTATTAAACTGTAGAGATGCATCGATCCAATACCTGAACTGGAAATCTGCTCAAAAAGTTGCTAATTAGCCAGATCAGATATCGCCAATATCAGATATCAGAGGTCCAATCCAGTGCACTTTACATGGAACAGTTATTTATTTCTGCTGCTTATTTGTTAATAAATAATATAACGTAAATTTAGATCTGTGTTAAAGTTACCTTTTTTAACAATGTTTATATGAAGGCTAAAGCCTTCACTCACATGGCATGTTATATTTTGAATTCATTCAACAGCTGAATCGGATCGTATCAGATATCTGCCGATCTGGTCAGCACAGGTATCAGTATTGGATCAGAAAAAAACAGGATCGATGCATGTCTGGTAAATTGCAGCTCTGGCTGCATGATTTGGGTTTTCTGACCTGACAAAATGTGTACCTCTACATTGGCTCTGCAACCTTCTGGTTTTCTGCAACCTTCAAAAGCTTTTTTCCAGTATTTAACCATATCTAACTTCCTTGGTATTTTTCCAGCATCACATTTCACCAATTGTATGGTGCGTTAAAAGTGTCCATTACTGAAAGTTTTTATTTTTGATCAGACATTTCTCCCATTTGAGCTGCAGATCTCTGAGCTTCTATGGTTAATGTTGCCCTTGTGGTTGTAACATAACATGTAAAAATGTTTGGGGGTGTAAATATGTTTTTTAAGGCAGCACACATTACTGGCAAAGAAATATGGGAAAGTGATCACAAGGAGTCACCTTGCAAAGCTGTTGCTGCAGCAGCTGAGGGAAATACAGAGCCTGAAAAGAACTGAGTGCATCTGAAGTCTGAAAGATGAGCAGAGAGGCAGCCATGTTATAGTGAAACACATTATACTGCTTTCCCATTCATACTGGCTCCTTCGTCAGAGGTCTGTCTCCACATCCTCAGGAGCCTCACATTTTCCAAGAGGACTAAGAAAGGATGTGCTTTATAATTCCTCTTCCACTATTGCTTTTGAACTGTGACCTGTCCTCCTTTGTTGAGAGCTTGAAAGCTTAATTAGTATTCCTTCATCAAAACAACTCGCTATGTTTTTTTAGGACATTCATTTTAGCAGACTTTAAAATTAACAGGCAAGAGATAACGGATACATCTGCAGTATTCACTTAACCTGTGCTGCATCCACATCTTAAAGTAAAATAAAAAATTTAAAGAGAAACAAAGTACAAAGGCATTTTATGAGGATATTTTAACCTATGGCTGGAATTAAAATCTTTCTCTCTATGGCTTTTTTCTCTCTAGATAATAATTTATCTCACTCCTGTTTTCCTATCCTAGCAAAGCCCCACATCACCGGCCACAAGCGAAGTGAAAATAAAAACGAGGGGGAAAATGCAATGATGTACTGCAAATCTGTCGGCTACCCACATCCAACTTGGACATGGCGAAAGGTCGACGGAAATTCCTACAAGGTTAACTTTGAATGATTATGACACTAAACATGCATACAGATTCTTAAACTCAAGGAATGTGACTTTGTAAATGGTCACTATTTTTCAGGACATTGACAACTCCACAGGACGCTTCTTTATCACAAGCAGAACCAACTATACTGAGATCAACATACTGGACCTGGATATAACTACTGATCCTGGAATATATGAATGCAACGCATCCAACGCCATTGGGAACACTGCAGAAACCACGATACTACGAGTGCGCAGCCATCTTGCACCACTTTGGCCTTTTCTGGGGGTGCTTGCGGAAATTATCATCCTTGTAGTTATTATCGTCGTGTATGAGAAACGCAAGAGGCCAGATGACATTATTGATGGTAAGAAAATCTCTTCTGTTGCAAAGCATTCTGAAGTGTTAAATAATAACCTGAAAAGGGAGTTTTCAAATCGAATCAGTTATTGTTTTAGGTTATTTTAGCTGGTGAAAAACTCTTTGGTTTTTTCCACTAGACTCTGTTAGATGTGCCGTAGAAACCGGCTTAGAGGTGCGGACTCTGGAGATCTGGAGAGATCAGATGACTTTCAATTGATATTCCTCCTCTGTTTTCTTTTTTCATTTAGAAGTAACAAAGCAGACCCAATGGACTGTTCATTTAGGTCACATCTTAAATGCATGCAAACGTGACCAATATCATTTAGAGTTGGAAATGAGGCCAAGCTCGCCCTGGATTGAGTTGCTGTTTGTGTAGAGAACTAGCAGCAGTTAGAAGACAGACGGAATAATTGTCAGCACATGTAGTCCCAATATGTAACTTAATTGGTCACTATTCTTCTCCCCTTTCCCCTTCCTTTCATATGGAACCATATACTAAATGGGTGGTAAGTGAGAGATCCTGCATGGTTATGAAGATCTGTTGTCAGTTTGTATGTTTGTTTTTTTTCCTTATCAGCCTCCAGCCCATTTACTATCTTTATTATCTCTGATGAGAAAAAGCTTTGAATTTAAACTGACATTTGCATTTCTGTGACGATGACCAGATGACAATCTTATCCATTTATTCACTGTAAAATGTAATATAATAGGTCAATATTTTGAAAGCTGTTCTTTGACTGTGATATAATCCAGATATGATTTTAACCAGACACTATACTATTGAAGGAATTTCCCTAAAGTGAAAAAATTCAAAGATTTCCAAGATTTTAAATGTTAATTTTAGCACTACAACTAACGATTATATTGCAAATTGATTAATCTGTCGATTCTTTTTTCAATTAATTGAATAATAATCGGATCGCAAAAATGTTCCAGAAAGAAGACTATTTACAAATCTAAACCAAGTAAAAATAAAAATGTTTCCACTTGAGGAGTTTTGTATCGACCATATTGACAGATGAAAAAAATAGTTTTCTTAAATGCAAAGTGTTACTTTTTTTTTTTTTTTTTTACAATGTTGGTATACTTGCTGCTCTAAGTTGTCAGCTAAAGGGATGTTTTAGAGCTTCTCTACTCCAGTTAACAATTAATCCATTAAAAAATTAATTGAGGATTATTTCAATAATCGACTGATCACGATTAATTGTTTAAGCTGTAGTGAATTTATCTCCAAACTAAGTTGAATTTGTAACAGTTAAGACAGATGTTACCTCCCGTTGTCCAAGCACAATTCGTAAATGGTTAATCTAGATTAGTAGATTTTGGATAAGTAAATCCAATAAGGCAGAACTATTTAAAATGTCAAACCTCTGTGAAATTAACAGGATTATCTGCCTTGATAAGAGTTAACCTATTATCTGTACTTTTTTTGGTAACCTTAATCAAAATATTGATCAAGTAGGATCACTAAGTAGGACAAAAAATATTAATCCATTCCATAGTTTAACCTGACAGTAAATGCAGCTGTCTAATTAAAATCATTTGCATTCATTTGCCTATAAGTTGTGACAACTGTGCTTGTATCTGGAAGCAGAAACCTAAACCTGGTACCTGTTTTCCACCAAAGCTGTAAAACCAATATTTTCTGCACCTAACTAGCTCACTTTTTCTGAATGTTGCTGACTTTGCTATTAAACTTTTTTTAAAGTATGCAGAAAGCCCAAAATACATTTTTAAGCAAACTGTAGCTGCAGCACACTGTTGAGATTCTCTGAAAAAAGCTCTCTAGGGAAACAATCCACTGGAAGTTAGATGCATCTTGGAGCATCGAACCACACCACTACCATCTTGTTTAACAATCGTTTTCTGGAATGTCATGTTACTTTTAGGGAAAAAAGTATACACCTTCCATTTTCATCTTGTCAATCCGTTAAATATTTTACCAAAAACCTTGGTAATTATCAAGATGGCTTTCCTTTCAAAACGTCACACGAGCCTTTGTGATCTTTGATCCAGCTGTTTTTAGCTTCAAATCATCCCATATATTTTGTACTTGAAAGTATCTATAAGCTTGTTTAAATGGTTCACAGACATCACATAAAGTAAATGTTATAAATCTTTGGTTTAACATTTTAGACATTTATAAGAACTCTAAATATTGAACTGCTTAGTGGAGACTATTTTATCCAATAAAAACTAAAGAAAAACAAGCTCCAGCCCGTCTTAAACCAATATCCTCTGAGATACTAAATCTGTGCTCCAGTTTTAACTCTCTTTGTCACAAATATAACTTGCAACACAGTTAAGGTATAAAGTCAAGATTATTTGTGTTCTACATAAAAAAAAAAAAAAAAAAAAACATTTTCTATTATATAATATTTTCTTTACACAAATTCAACTCCTATTTATCTTCCTAACAATTTCTCTCCCACTGGTAGAAACTAATCCGTTCCTCCAGTAAGCGCCTTGGTGTCAGCCTGCCCTGCAGCTGATTGTTTAACAACACTTTAGACTGAAATGGCTTTTTTCTAAACATATCAGCACAGTGTAAAAGGGTGATTCTCAAGCTACAGTCATATTTGCTCATGGCTTTTTTTCAGAAAAACCAACGCATATTATTAGAAATATTTTGATTAGTTCTAATTCATCAAAATGCATAGAAACAGTAACTGACAGTGGTTGCAATGTAATTACATGAATATTATATAATGTATATTATGTACAAATATTATATATATAGATATGTTAATGACTGTTGTGGAAATTACAATGTTTAGAATTTTCTTTAAAATCTCATGACATATTAGCATGCTAATCTCTGTTTTACAGTTAAAAAACACTCAAAATACTCTAAATTAAATTATTAAATTATCTTTGTCATTTGTACATTTAAAGGAATATGAGCAAATAGGGAAAAAGAATATGCAATGTTTGGTATTGATGACCAATAAACCTACTCTTGGTTTTGCAAAACTTTCCTTAATTTTGTTTCTTATTTCCCTTCTCTACATGGAGCTAATGCTGCTATCCTGCTATTAGCTTTCCTCTCATAAGACAACTATTGTGGTTGCAAGTACGCAAAGGTTAAAAAAGAATTAAAAGGTACAGTTTCATGGTACAAATGACAGCGATCCCGAGGGTCATGTGTTCTTTTAATGAAAAATATAGAAAATACCAATATATCTTTAAAACACTTTATATTTATTCATTAAAATAAGGAATTTCTGCGCTATTGTCAATAAAGGTCACGCTGAATCAAATTTCATTTCATTCTTATAAGGGACAGAAAGTCCAAAACCCGCCCAATGGGCAAACAGCAAAAACACTCAATATAAAACAACATTTTATATAATACAAATAGTAATACATCTTTCATAATTTTTTGTAAATTTGTCTTTGTTTCCAGGACAGATCTGGCAGCATGGATAAAAAAATGACAAACATGTTTTTTCTTATTTCTGTCTGGGACACAAATAGTTTAATAGTTAGAGAATAACCCAAATGCAGAAATTCATTTTCATATTTACCATACATGTTTACATTTTTTTAACATAGTATATGAACCTAAATCAAATGAAGCATCATTTTTTTGCTGACCTTTTGAATTTAAAATTCAAAGCTTAGACAATTTTTAGACCGGCAAATGTTACGTGGCAAACTAAATATGTAGGTTTAAACCCCTCTTTTTCTCCTAATAAATAAAAGCTTTTTTTTATTTATTGGTTATCCTAACCACTATCCCTATATAGTTTTTGTATGTATAAATATATTTACAAAGAGTCAGCCTTCATGAGCTCCACAAGGTTTTTAGTCAACTGAAAACTTGAAGTGATTAAGGTAGATTATATTTGCCATGTTTAAGTCATTCAAATCAGGCTGAATCCCAACTCACAGCCTTCCTCAAATCTCCTTTTAGCGTGCCCTGTTCCCAGCGGTTTTTGCCCATCTGCGTGCGTTATAATTTCAGGTCTCTTGATGGCTTAGCTGTGTTGGAACAATTTTTTTTTAACTCCAGTCTAAGGCAGGCATCTCCAAAGTCGGTACTCGAGAGCCGCTGTCCTGTAGGTTTTAGAGGTTCCCTTGCTCCGGCATAGCTGATTTTAATTGAAAGTTGATTAACAGGCTTTTGCTCAACTGCAATCATCATAATCAGCTGTGCTAAAGCAGGGAACCCTCTAAAACCTGCAGGACAGCGGCCCTCGAGGACCGACTTTGGGGATGCCTGGCTTTGATGCAGAGGCTGATGTTTCTGTATCAGCTGTTAAAATTAAAAATTTTGCTGTGTGATGAATCTAAAATGTGTTATTTGATAAAGTGAAATCACAATTGATGTTTTACAGATCTGTAGTTGGACTAATATCACACAGTAAACGCTGTTGTTAGTGCGCTTGCAAAGGCATAACAGTGAATTTGTGTCATATACTACCCATCTGAAGTGTGATAAAGCTGCATAAGCCGACAGATTTTCCTCCTCTTGACAGAACCATATTTTCTTGTTTTGGTCTAACATTATAACAGCCATAATCTGCTCCATTTTAATACCATGGAATGCTGCTAATGCTGCTTATCCCTGACTAATAACTGCATGGAAAATAGTTAACCTGCTGACACATTTCATTTGTTTGCAAAACACCAACAACCCTACATAACCCAAGACTGAAGGGGTGTGAAACCATTTTATTTCTTCTTTTTGAAAACCACCAACAACTTCCAGCATCTTTTTGTTTTTTGTTTTCCTGAAACACTGTATGAATATCACTTATTTCCCTATTTTAGTACACAGTTATAGGTTAGGTCTTTGACAACTTAGATTGTTGCTTTATACAGATAAATGTTAAATATCAACATGGTAATAAGTCCCAAGTCTATTTAAATATACTTAATGTAATTGAAAGATGGCTTTAAGTGAGCCATCTGTAGCACTCCTACACAATGTTTCTATTTGAAATAAACAAGAATCCCATGAGATTTAGATGTTATGTAAGCTTAAGATTATAATGTTTGGCATGCAAGATAGTTTTTTTTTATTTCTAGTCCTGGTTCTGTAGAAAATGCAACATACTGAATGCACAAAAGTTTTATTTACATTCTTTTTCCAGCCTTCGAAAACTTGACTAAAAAAACACACATTTGAAGTCATTTTCTGCAGGTATTGTATTTCTGTTCTATTTTTTTCTCCCATTATGACATTGTGTTTCTGTCTCATTTCTTCCCACGTCACAGACGATGAACCAGTCGGACCAGCGTAAGTAAATAATAGCTATACTGTGAATTAGATTTGCCTTAACCTACTGCATGATCTTTGATTTAGTACGGTTAAGTTACTAATAAAACTGCTTTTATCCAAGGAAAACAAACTCAACAAACAACCACAAGGACAAAAACATACGCCAGAGGAATACAAAATAAGCAATTTACCCAAGTAAGACTGTGTTGAAAGGGATTTTTAGTAGGGGTTAAGTGTACGATATGCAGAGGATAAACCCCTAACCATGATTTTCTCCCCACAGATGAGACGGCTTAACTGCATTTTTTGACGACATGCAAGTATCAGAGGTTGACAAAACTCCAGGCAGTGTGGAAAAATAACCCATATCCTGTCTCATTCTATGAGCAACAATATCAGCGTAACACTGGCAACAATAAGAACTTACAGTAATGGCTGTCTTAAGCATGCCTTATCCAGTCTTAGATGGCAATTTCAGGATGATGAATATTGACTAATGCGCCACAAAGGTGTACGCATTTCCAATGTGCTGTTGATGTCTCCTTTATTAATTTGAACATGTCCTCAACCGAGGTGATCCCTTTTGTATTACATATCATGTACACTGCATGCAAGATTATAACGCAATAGGATACTCAGAATAGACTTTTTCTGTTGTTATCCCTCGTGTGGCTTTTTTTGCATCCAAACCACATGTTTTTTATGGAGTCATCCTNGACGGCAATGGAGCAGTGCTCTGCCCCGCTGGAAAAGGAAGCACTTGCTCGCACATGGGCCTGGGAGATGTTTACTACTTTATTCTGGTCTACACTTTGAACTAGAAACTGACCAGAAGCCTCTATTGAGTCTTCTGGGAGGTCAAGCATTGGATAGATTTCACCATGGATACAGAGATGTTGCATGCGCCTAATGAGGTACTCGTACACTATAATGGGGATTAGACATGTAGAAGAAAGGTGGCTGGATAGAAACAATGATAAAAGCTTGATTAACCCGAAAGCTGCAACCGTTTTTTCTATATGGGAACTTAACACAAAACTATCCACATTGTTGCCAGAGTCTTGAGCAACACAGAAAAAAGTTACTACATTTGTTGCCAGTTGCTGTTTGAAAAAAAGAGGCTAGGGTTCTGAAAAGTTGCTAAGTCAGCAACATCTTATGAGGTGATGCTATAAGATGGTGATGGTTCTCCTGTAAGTATTCAGAGAGTTTATTGTTTCAAAACAAGAAAAACCTACCCATTTGTGACAGCCTGCTGTTACACTCTGAAGCTGTGTGGTAACTTTTACATGTTTCATTTTCAAAATCAGTTGCACATTTCATATATTTTCATTAGCCTGACTTTAAGTTCACTTTTTGCAGTGCACACATTTAGTTAACTTTATTTGTCAGATTGTTTTTTTGTCAAGATGCAATTGATTCATATCTTTTTTCTTTGAGTTGCCAGTTTCCTTGGGATCTGCTGGTGGAGGGTTGCAATGAGCACCAGCTTACCTCAATTAATGGTTGCAGGCTAATCAGTCAGGCAAACCATTTGTAATGGGAAGGGAAATTTGTTTATCATTTGTTTAAAAATTCTTAGTTCGGGTAATTTTGTTAATTAGTTAAATTTAAAAAGTATTTAGTGTCTGGCTGGTATTTATATGTTTAATTAAGTTTATTAGTTTGTTAGTCAGTTATCCCCCTTGTGTGTCAACAGTGGTCTGATCAGCCACTATTTAAGTTTCCCTCATGTCCTGTTTGTTAGGTCAGTTTGCGTTTGAGTTGTTCATGTTAAAGCCTGATTTGAATTCTGTTTTGTTTACCTCTGTTTTTGGGCCCAGTTTATCATTCTTTAGAAAATTTTGGGAATAAATTAAGACTTCTTTTTGAAAACTTTCAGTGGTTTTCTGGCTGGTTTGTGCAAATCCCTCACACCATTAAAATCAGTTTCCTTGAGCAGTAGGTCAGTCAAAATCATTTTTTTCAAATCCAGTAAATGTAATCAATTGTTAATGGAAGTGCATCATTTTAATATAGCAGTTACTGGGCTAAAGGACCAAAAATTAAGAACAAATAAAGATGTTGTTTTTAGTAAATCAGATAACAGCAAAGCCAAGCTTTTCTGCAGCCTTGAACACCTACTCTTATTTGAGAACCATGGATTTTTAGAATGTCTCTAGATCCACAGGCACAGGAAAGCTGACCTGTGCCCTCATGTTAAACAATCCATCCACAGCAGGTAATTCAATCATGCATATTTGCCTGTTTGTATATGTACCAGGTTAGTATATGTGAGCATGGAATAATGTGAATTTGAGATACCGTTAACACATTTGTAAATGCTGTTTTGTGATCTTATTTAATGCAAACATATGTACCTGGATTCTTTGTGCACCTTTTGGAGATAAATTAAACTCCATATATAGATATTTTCAGAAAGAGAATTTGTTGTCATAATTTTAAAAGATTTGTGTTTTGATACACAAAGATAACATATTGTCATGCTGCTATGTTGGAACCTTAGCAGCATTACATGCAAATCATCATTATTGTGTGTTTTTCTAAATGTGAATAAAACCTAAAAGCAGTCAGCTTTTTAACTTCCTCTTTTTTAACTGTTTTTTGAATCAGTGAATCAGTGAAGTGTAGTGTAAGATTTCCTCTTCATCAAAGCATTCAACAAGATTTGAGATAGTGTGTCAGGTCAGACATTGGTGAAATTTAAAGATTTTTTTGTGAGAACATGCATGTTTTTCCCATTATAAATTTTTTCCCCTTTTTGAAAATATAGGATGTTCTTCCAACCAGGGTCATCAGTATTCCCTCTATTTCCTTTAAATGCATCCCTGCTCTTCAACACCTGTTATGTATAATGAAACACCTTAACAGCTTGTCATCAAATCCTGCTGAGGCCTGATAATAACAGATTAATTAATTCTGATTTTAAAACAGAACTTTTAAAAAGTGAGAAATACATACCTGATTTTCATCAGGATCTTTTTCATGTATCTTCTCGAAGTATGAGAGAAAGTTTTATAAGTTGTCTCAAAGTCATTCAATAATACTCCCCCCTGAGGCATCTGTGAGCTCATTGGTCAGCAGCTCATACTCCCATCTGGCCCCTACATGGCTGCCTGCAGCCCGTCTTCACCTGAGAAACCATGCTGAAACAAACTCTTGGGGGGTGAAGATGAGAAGATATACAGTTTTTGTAAACTGCCTTAGAAGTTTATTTTTACAACCTAAGGACCCAATCAGCTAAAGTATGCTGTGCATTCAGTATTGGCAAAATTCAGCACGATTCCAACAAATAGCATAAATGATCCCCACCTGTATTTTCTCCCCTTTTGCATCTCTTTATTATGACCTTGACATTGTGGACTTTTACATTACTGTATAAAATGTACTCAGATTTTTCTTTTGTTTGGAATCATGGGGTATTCTGCGTAATAATTTTATTTATTTGGTAAATATAACTTCAATTTTATCTTCATTCAGTTCTGAAAATGAACAAAAAACAAAACTCTACAACCTAAACATGAGGCTTATTGTTTCTACCTGTGGCACATCTGAATTGACATGGCCTTGAAAAGATTACTGTTTAGTTATATAAATCCTTATATTTTCCACTGCGTGGAATTTCTGGTACCTTGACCGTTTTCCTGGAGCTGTTCTGCAGACAGTCACCTCACCATTGTTACTTCAGTCCTCCGCCAAAAAAAAAAAATGATGAGGGATCAACAGCTATTTTTGAAACAGGAACATGGTGTTAGATGGTATATCCAAGATTGAATTTTGATTTGACCATTTAGAAGCATTACAAGAGTGTTGGGTCAATAATAGCAAGTTGCAGATTTTGTCCACAGAGTTTTTTTTTCCATTTTTGACCCCTCTGTGATTCAGCTAAAGGAATATTTGACCTGTAAACTGGTTCAGGCCACCTGTCCCTTCAGTCAGCAAGCAGGGAGCCTGTTTATGTACTAACTTATTCTTTTTTCCCCCTCAGAGGTCCTATACTGTTTTAGCAAAACCACACTAACACAATGATGAGCAACAGCTAAATCCCTGAGTCACTATCAAATCATAAAATGCAGGATGGGATGCTGAAAGCACAAACCTTCTCCTTGTTCAAGGTTTACTTCCTGATTTTTAGGATGATATCCTTGTACAGTGTGTTTTTTGACCACCATCAAAAATCTGTGCTTGACTTCCAGAAACCTACAGTACCCTGTCTGAAAAGGACAATGAAGGAGAAAACAAATAGAAGAGAACACACTATGACTACTATCACCTGAAAACTTGTGTAAGGGTAAGGCTCTAAAAAGAATAATAAATGGGCATGATGTAGTTAAAACATTTAAGATAAACTTTTAACAAACAACATCAGCAGCCAAACCATTTGAAGAAGGGGAGGTGGGGGTTCTTCATCAATAGTGTAATGGAGAATTGGAAGAAATAGTAATAGGGAAATATGTTTTTGCAACTTTAATAACAATTTTATGTTGAAATTATATATATATATATATATATATATATATATATATATATATATATATATATATATATATATATATATATATATATATATGTTTTTATTGAGATTTGTACAGCATATCATTGTCATTAAATTATATGATTTGTGAAAAGAAGTCTACTTTTAACAGAGCTTTTATTGTGAAGCAAGGGCTTCAACGTCAGGCAGTATTTAAATTTAATTGAGAGTGCTTACAGAAAATGACTACTGTGTGTTTAACTATCTTAACAAAAAGGATATATGTATTATTTCTATTTTCTTTCCAGAGTAACTTAGGTGTCTTGTATATGTTGAAGTATGAGTGTTCAAATGATAGGAAATCTGTAAAAAAAGATATTTTTTTTATAATTCCCAATTTCAACTCATTGATTTTTACTTTCTATTTTGTTTTTCTCTCTTTAACTGTATAGCATGGCTATAATCCTATGCAATATGTATTCTTAAATAGATATATGGAGGGCAGTTTGTTTTACTCAGTGAAGCTTTAATCTTGTGGGATCACTTGAAAGCTGGCATAGATTCACTGCTGTAGCTGCATGACTCCTCTTTCAATACGATGTATCCATGTGTGTTGCGGTGGAAAAGGACCTGGATTATGGGATGTGAACTGAGGGACCAGAGCATATAGCCACGATCAAACATATGAGTGACCAATATTTTTTTTCTTAATAAAAACAATATAAAACAAAAACTGTCTTTTATTTTAATTTCAAAAAACCCAAAGGGAAACATATTATCTGTGCTAAAAAACATAAACTTGGAATTATATTTTAATTTCACAAGTAGAACGGTCAAGAGGATTGAACTGACGACACGGACTAACTAGACAAAGTTTAGAACATCAAACACTGGAACTTGCTTTACGTTTCCTGCCATCAGCTGGTGGTAAGAGATTTCTCATTCTTCAGTCAGTTTCTCCAGTTCCTCCTGCACCTTCTCTACAAACGCAGGGAAGCTGGGATCCAGCAGACACACACGCAGGAAGGCCTCCATATCACCTAATGCAAATGAATTGTGCCTATATATGTTGGGGAGAGCCAGAGGAGCTTCTCCCATGAAGTGCTGTGGGATGCAAGGAGAGATATTTAAGTCAATCCAAATGTCAGAATCTACGGCTGCATCTAAAAATTATTTCCAAAAATTCTGTAATTCCATTATAAAGTGAAGCCCATTTAAAGATTAAATAAACAATTGTGGAGTACAGGCAATGCTGATAATCCAGAAATGTTTACTATCGCAATCATCAGGAAGACTTTTGATATTGTCCATATTTGCTCCACAAAAGCCTTATAGGAGTCTGCTAAAAAAGACTATTTACAGAGAGCTGTATCCAATCATCATGAGAATGCAAAGTGGAAAAATGTTTGGCTGATCATGACACAGTCTGTTAAAGGTTTGGAGGAGCAAGACCATGTGCACAACTGCTGCATTCCCAGGGTTACTACACTCCAAACCAGGGAAATTTAATGCATTGCATCATAGCTAGACTAAAAAGAAAAGTAACTAAACAGTCACGCCATGAACCAAACTCCTCCTTTCCAAGTGACTACAACTGTTATACTTCATCTGCAACAGAGAAAAGGTAAAGAAAGTTATTAAATCAAACGCCTGTTCAGAATGACAGACCAAAGCCTCCATGTCATTTAAGTGCTGCTGTGGTATTTTTTTTCTTTTAAGATAAGTAGCTTTCATTCCCAGTATTCAGATAGGTGAGCACCTGATTCACTGCAGTGATTACTTGGTTGTGTTTATGTACAATTTAAATGTTCTGAGAAACTGAATTATGTATTTTATTGATATAATCTGAAGGTTAAATATGTATAATGGTGAAAAAAATATATATTAGATGTGATAACAGGAAACATGAGATGGTTAAAGATTAATGCGCCAGAGTTTTAAGATTTCACACCTGGGTTAGACGCCTGATGGACACAGCACCTTGGACAGCTCCAGCCTCTCCCTGCCCAGTTTCTTCTTGACGTGACTGCTGCCAGAAGATAACAGAAAGAACATTAAAGAAAAAAAGATTTGACAGACAGCGCAACAGCACAGAATAGGGAGACCAATCAATGACCTCATTACTAATTGAAAATTTTCCACCCAGTGGAACCAAGTCCTTTCATCCTCTCCACAAACTTCTGCACTGTATACCCATAAAGGTCAATTGCAGCACCATGGCCGAGTCCGTTTCTCTCTTAATCCTTCATGTTTAATGACTCAGAGCAAAGAAAAGCTTGGTGTTTTCATTTGAAGCCAAATTGTTCTTAATCAAATTTTTAATGCCACTTAAAAATATATTGTTGAGCACAAGCATTTCCTTTTACAATGAATATGCTGAATGAAATAAGTGACTGGGGTTTAAATATACGGCTGATATTTATTTTCATAATCGAAAACACATTTTATAGTCATGTTCAGTCAAATAACTCCAAAAGCAGTTTTCCTACTGTCAGTGTTGGGTGGGTTTTAACTTAATCTCCTGCAAAATCTGGGATTATTCAGTAATTTTTGCACATATACTGTCCCACTGAATGTCAGCCCTAAATTTAAGACAATGTAGTAAACAGCTCCTCCTAGTGAATACATTCTGCTACTGTTTATTGGGAAAAATCTTCCACCTCTAATGTAGTGAGCATCTATAGTTGAGAGTTTGCAAAAGGGAAGTTTTCCCAAATAAAATAAAAAGGACCATATCATGTTAGTAGTGTGAGCATGCCAGCCATGTTTTTTTTCTTAACTCCAACCTTGTGGTCAACATCACTGCATTTCCCTTGTTTTTTGGATTTGAATGGCCCTACAAAACTAAATGTCAGAGTAGCGTTTATTTAGATTTACTGACAGGTAAGGTTAGTAACCTGTGCAGCTGGTGGGTCCTCAGTGGGGGGCTGATTTGGATGTGTAGCAGAAACTTCCACAGCGGTGACAGGAACATACTCCATCAACTTTTCCACAGCCCTTGAACACTGATTTAGGGCCTCTGCTGTGCTGCTCCCAGCAAACTGCATCCTCATCATGCAGTTCTCCCCCTGCAGAAGACCACATATTTGCCCACAGTGTGTCTCCATCAATCAGTCATCGAAGGAAAACATCTAAGGTTTGCATATTTTATTTTCTTAACCTCTAGCTTTGCAAAAAATAAAAACAAAATATTCTAAAGTTGGTGCATACAGACAAAAAAATACATGTATAAACAACAGTAATAATAATGATCCAATTTTGATTGTCTACTGATTATTAATACTTTTTTTTGCTCACCTTTACTGTAAATCGAAACATCAGGTTATCATTTTTGTGCTGCACCTTAAGAGAATTGGAGCCCTCGTTCAAAGAGATTGTACCCTGAAAAGTAAAGTCATAAAAATATATTTACGAACAGAATTAAATATATATTTTTTATTTGGATAGGTTATTATTTTTCAGTGAGATATTGTGGACAAATTAAAATGTTTATTTGCCTTAATGTTAGTACAAAAAGAGACAAAGAAGGATGTTTCCCAAAACTGTCTGCAGGGGTCTCTGTTTACTCAATAACATCAATGCTCCATAGTTGGATTTAATCATTAAACTCCTGAGTTAAAATGAAAAACATTAACTTTACAGTATGCTATTTTGAGGTAGATCCAATGAGTTTTTTTCCTTTTTAATTCATTATCCTGAATTACAAAACTAGAAACTATCCAATCAGACTGTGGTGATATTTGATTACAGAAGTATTCAAATTTAACGTAAAAATTCAAATCCCCTGGTATTCTGTTTTCCAACTAAATATCACATTTCCTTTAAGATCTTTTCAGAGCCAAAGGTTTAACTTCTCTGTATGTAATATCCCTAAGGAATAACTGCAGGAGTCTATAATAGAGCACTCTATCATCCTCAATGAATGCTCTCTGCAGCCTGACCTGAAAATATGTATGACTTGTCAACCTAGCACAGCAAGATAGCTGTGTCTCCTGCCAGAACATTATAAATCAGACTGAGTTGTACCTCAACTGTTATCTGTAGGTCAGAGGAAATGTTCTCCCCCAAGGCGAGACAAAACTCGTCCAAAAATAGTGGAGAGATTGTTTATAGAAACAAAGAATCACTCATAGCTCGGAGGGATTTTTAAATCTGGAAGACATCAAGTACAAAATCCTCCAAATATTAAAGTCGATAAAGTTACATGCATTTATGCAAAAAATGTGCCTAGAATGATATCTTTTGTCTAAAAATGACATATTTCTCTGTACTGTTCTTGAAACCAAAAAGAATATTTGGCTTTGCCCATCTGAAACAGTCAAATCCCAACAGATTTGAGCAGAAATGTCACACTCTTCAGCAGAATATTTCATAAAAAAAAACTAATTAATATTTATATCCAGTGCAAGGGGACGAGAGGAGCAGAATTTGGAACTTTGCTTCCAAGCTTTACTTAAAACACGAAATCAGAGACGAGTATGTGGTTCACAGCTGGAGCCTTAAATAAATTCCCTGCAGCTTTTGTCTAATGTGATGCAAAGAGGAAATTCAATGTCTGCAGTTTTAACTGCTTTGTGCCACAGTGTAAAAATGCATGTGATTTCTCTTTAGAGAAATTCTACACACTAAAGCATACAAAAGCATTTTAAAAAAAATATTTCATTACACCAAAGAAATCGACATAAGATTGAAGCAATAATATCATAAATTACCCCTCACACCCCCACTATGGACTGTTCTCCCTGCCGCCCTCTCAGAAGAGACTTCGAAGCATCCGATTCGGTCCAGCAGATTCCAGAACTGTTTCTTGCCCACTGCCATTAGACTGCTGAATGTTATGTAAATGGGTTATTTTATTGTATTTTATTATATTTATTAATAAAAAAACAAACAAACAAAAAAAAAACCTGAAATGTTAGAACTGTAAATATAGAGTCATATGTTTATATTACTGTTTTGATGTATTTTTTACTGTTTTCAAGGCTGCACTAAAAAGAAATGCAACTGTCTTTTTGTTTACATTTGTGTATACAAAATGACAAAATAAATCTGTCTAAAGTCTAAGTCTAGTCAGAGAAATTAGCAG